TGTCAAGTGTCCATGTAATTACATGTCTTTATGAGACTGAGAAGCACGTAAAGTTAGAAAGTTTTCGTCCACAAAGTGCGACTCGTCCTGTTGTTGTTGCTCTGGAATCTCGATGACTATCTTCATGATGCAGCACTCGCCAAGAATGCAGTTATTGCATATTGCTAATAACCCCCCTTAAGATCTTAATCTGTTTGTCTCTCGGGCTGAAATAATTGTTTTGACCGTTCAGATTTTACAATAAAAGAGGAAACGAACAGTCGTAGATCCAACATATGCAGTTTATCCAGGCATGTCACTCATTTCACAGCCTTCCCTCGTTGCCAGAGATGGGAGGACACGAATCCTGCTTTAACGATATGGCAGTAGATTTGCATATTCGCTTAGATACACATACATCGTATATAGCTTTGTCGACGCCAACTCCTGTACATGCAGCAGTCGGGCCTCAGAAACTTTTGAGGCTGGAAGTCTCAAGAAAAAGCAGGTTCCCTTAATAGACAATGCTCGATTTTAGATTACATCCACTCCATATTAAAATGAAAAAGGTTTCAGTTTCAATTCTTACATTGCGATGGACATATATTCCATGGAAAAAATAATCTTAGATGTATATATAGGAAACCGGGCATTTATCTGCGTGCATACGTAAACTTTAGCTCGGTCAAAATGTAGATGAAAGGATCTCAAGGAAGTCTCCAGGTCTGGTTGGGATCTCCACCTCCTCTTTGCGGGCGGCGTCTTGAATTTTGGATGGCCTCGTGTGCCAACTGCTCAGTCAGTTAGGCGTTGGAGGTGAATATCGTTCAAAGCAATATTTAAAGCAATAGTCCTGGATTTACATGCCCTAAATAAGCAATTCAGCGGACGGGCCTTCAGCATATTCGTGTATTTTCTTAGATTTTTTTTATATACACAAAAAAACGCGTGCGCATATATGTACGCACGTAAACGCTCTCTCTCTCTCTCTCTCTCTCTCTCTCTCTCTCTCTCTCTCTCTCTCTCTCTCTCTCTCTCTCTCTCTCTCTCTCTCTCTCTCTCTCTCTCTCTCCCCCTCTCCCTCTCCCTCTCCATCTCTCTCCCCTCTCCCTCTCTCTCCCCCTCTCCCTCTCCCTCTCCCTCTCCATCTCTCTCCCTCTCCATCTCTCTCCCTCTCCATCTCTCTCCCTCTCCCTCTCTCTCCCTCTCTCCCACTCTCCCTCTGTATATTTGTGTATGTATGTGGTCATCTTATGAAAACATATAAAACGACTTTCCAAATGTAAATGATTTAGTTTCTAGAAAGATGCGCCATATGTTAAATAACTCCAAATAACAAGAAGACGAGTCACGCACCCGAGCAGTTCCGCCGCAGTT